ATTTCGTCCTAAACGACTTTGGTGACCTAATGTAGTCCCAGACTTTTGTGTTTTTACTCAATTTAGTCATCTGTTCGTTATTCCGTCAAAATGGTATTAAATAAAGGGACAATTCAGTAATCTCAATATTGATATCTATTTACTCTTAGCTTTGTGAAGTGCAAAATCCCTCTTTCTTTTACAAATTACTTCCAGAACTACTCCCAGACCTGCAAATCAAATTTTATAGTCGCAGGTTTGGGAGTAATTTGTAAAAGAAAGATGGATTTCACACTTCATAGGTTTAGGAGTAAAGATATGCTAATACTGAAATTACTAAATTGTCTCTCTATTTAACACCAAATGGACGAAATAACAAACGGATGACTAAATTGAGCAAAAATATAAAAGTCTGGGACTACTTTAGGTTACCAAAGTTGTTTAGAAAAAAATTGAGAAAAACCATTATACTCGATAACCATTTTGGGTATTAACTCAATTTTATTGCTATGCTTTTGAGTTTAATGAAAGATTACATATTATACTCTCAAACTCCTCCCAAAAAAAGGGTAATATTCTCAATCTGTGAAACATGACTTTAAGGTATATAGAGATGAGGTTCTTCATGTTCTTTACATTAAAATGTTTTACTTTTAATTAACTTTTAGCTAGCTTTTGCTTATTTACTTTTTACCAAGTTTAATTTGAAATATTATCCTTAGCTTATAGTTGCTGTACAATTCAACTTTTTAATTTTTTTTTTTTTTTTTTTTTTTTTTTTTTTTTTTTGCATAATGCTCTCTCTGGAGATAAGAATGTTTGGTGTACCAAAAATCAAAGTTAAGTTAACAAAAAGTTATTCTTTTGCATAAACGCATCAAACAGCATATATGGAAAGTGGTGCTTTTTTGAAGTATTTCCAACTAAGGGGGATTTTATGTATGTACTTTTTCTTTATTATTATTTATTTGTTATTATTATTATTCTTTAATCTTTTGACTAGTGATAAAGAAGAAAAGTTGCTCCTCCTTTGCACAACCGTTGTATTGTTAACACTTGTATGTTTTATTTTATTATTTGGTATATTTAATTTTAGATAGATGAAGTTATCCCAGTTAAGGTCTAGGCATATATATACGTACTAGTGTACTACTATCTTTAAAGAAGACAGTGATATATTTATAATGAAATTTACATTTGGGGGTCTTTGGTTCATGAGTTTACACATTAAAAATGAAAATCATCAAAATCATAGTTATTTTTTGGTTGACAACTTTTTAAAACACAACTATATGATTTGATTATCACTTCAGTTAAGAACCTTGTTCCCTAATTAAAAAGGGGTATTATTCCATTTTATATTTTGATAATTTGATTTTTAAGTTTGCATTAGTGATTTTAAATTTTTGTTTTGATTTTTTGTTCATATTAGCGCTTTAGATGTCATTATATTAGGATCAATTGCCTTGATTTTTTTGTGTTTGTATTTTCAAAACTAGTATCTCATTATAGGGTCATACATAACCAAATATCAATATTGGTAATCATTCCAATTTCACCCTACTACCCAAACACGCAAAATACTTTCACCAAAACCATTACATTACCAAGCTAAGTATTTAATTCCCATTCCGATTTCGATTCCGATTCACATGTACGAACCAAACACATCCTTCGTTTATAAGGAAATCAGAGTCGTGGCCGTGAGAATTATACATAAATTATTTGAACAAAATAATAGGGTTAACCATAAAGTTATACCTTAGACTCTAGTAGTAGTAGTCTATTGGCATTCTTAGTTTGAATCGGGTAGCTATGGACTACCTAGCTTAGTTTACATCTTTGTATGGTAGCCTTTTGGTAACTAGGGTTACAAGTCGAGATTTATCCAGTGTACACGTTTAAATAATAGCTGCGAATTTCTCTCGTTACTATAAAAAAACAAGGTTAAGGCCGGGTACGTCAAAACGGCTTCATTGTTGGTTGCAGATGCATTTAAGTTACAGAACTCAAAAATTGTGCAATTTGATCATTATATCTAATCTAAAAACATAATAAGTGTAAATGAAAGTTATACCCCTGATTTATGTTCGTTTTTTCCGTTAAGTTTTTTTTTGTACATTATGCTATAAAGGTTGTACATTAAAATATTTTGGACAAACATACCCCTACCGTTATAACTTCCGTTATCTTTTCCACTATTGTTAGTTGTTACCATGCACATGCATCCACCATATATTTTCTTATCTTCTTCATTAATAATAATAATAATATATACACATTATATATTTGAGTTATATGTTAATTATTACATAAAATATAAATATCAAATTTATAAAACCGATTTACATTATTATTATTATTATTTAGAATAATTTAAATATCTAAAAATCTAAATAAATTTAAAATTTTAATATAATGTATTAATATTGGGCACCTATTTTTTGCTCATCGTGCATAAAAAATACTAGTAGTTATATACATTACAAAATTGTAGGAATGCAATGGGTCGAGTGTGGGTCAGGGAGGTCTACATCTACCACTCAATCCACTATATACTTTCTTCACCCACCCCATCCCCGACCTGTAACAAGTGGATGTTTTCAAAATTCATCCCTGCCTCACAAGGGTACCCATTACTTATTATCTTATTAAATATTTTTAAAAAATAATTAAAATATTTAAACGATTTTCATATAATAAAATATAATGTTCACTAGTTATACTATAACATAAAATAATAAAAATATTTAAATATAATAAATAAATTGTTACTTTTTTAAAAAATTATACTTACTAGTTTATTACTTAAAATAGTACAAAGTTAACAAGTGTTATAGAAACTTTTAGAATTAACTATATACTAGTAATAAACCAAAACTATATACTATATACTATATATATATATATATATATATATATATATATATATATATATATATATATATATGTATATATATATATATATATATGTATGTATATATATATATATATATGTATATATATATATATATGTATATATATATGTATATATATATATGTATATATATATATATACATATATATATATATATATATATTATTTATTTATTTATATAACACGGTGGGTTGAATTGGGTTCTATGCGAGTTTTGTATATAAAATTTGCATCGGCTAACCCGATTCATAACGGGTTTAATATTTTAAGACCTACCACCCACTCAACCACTATCATCTGAAAAAATCCGATCCATGCAAGGTGGAATGGCAATTTATATCGTGGACCCTGGATCAAAACAACACCGTTTGATGTTTAAGTTTTAATAGACTCTGTAGCTTTCCGTTTATCATGTTTCAACATAAATTTTAATTTATTCTATGTACAGAATCCTTACGCTTAAAGTACAAAATAGCGTAATATGATGTACATAAACGCATAACACGAGATACATATACATGTTTTCTATTTTACTTATATATTCTCATATCTGATTTATGTAAATAATTTATATCTTATAGGCACATAATTTCATAGTACAAGACATCAATGTTGCAAAACACGTAGGCGCCCCCTAGGTGCCGACTTTAAAAATTATTAAAATTCACTAATAAAACATAAGGTTCACATAGTTATTTTTACAAACTATTTACGTAAGTGGTTGTAAAATTGTTCGAAAGATTGTTTAAACCATCTAAATACATGAAAAACTAAAATTAAGAGCTAAAGAAGCATTTTTTGAGAAATTAGTGGGGCAAATCGGTGTATAGATCTCAAAAAAATACGCGATTTGAAATTTTTTTTTTGTCCAAAACGGACAACTGAGTCAAAAGTTATGCCTCGACAAAGTTTTAAACCCTAAACCAAAAAAAAAAAAAAAAAAAAAAAAAAAAAATCAGCCCGGCCGGCTAGGCGGTCTAGGCATTTGCCAATCGGCGCCTAGGCGCGATTTTTGCAACACTGCAAGACATAAATACGTAAAATAAGACAAACTATATTTTGTGTTATAAAACTACTAATCAATTTCATGTATATAATCCTTATGCTTAATGTACATAATTACATAACATGATATACAGAAACATATAACACGAGATACAAACACATGCTTTACAGTATAAAATAAAAAATTTAAAAAAAAAACACATCTGTAACGCGTTAAAATTAAAGTTCTAAACGACGTCATATAGGACCAGGGTCTACGGTATAACGATTGAGGTGGATTCAGGTGGATATCTACAGGTGGATTGAAATTGTCATCCCTACAAAATTGTGCAACAAACACAATTAACGGGTTAAAAACAATTATCAAGTAATTACATTTTTTTTTTAAAAAAAGTTTAATTTACACTTGAAAAACTTAAGGTGTTTTCTTTATTAATACGGAGTATGCCATTAATAATAATAATAATAATAACAATAATAATAATAATAATAATAATAATAATAAATACTAACCGCAACAATAATGATATTAAAATTTATACGGAGTATATAAAACATAACATAATTTGTTTTGTTTTTTAAAAAAAACTAAACATAATTTAAGAAGAATTAAATCAATAAAATGATATATTACTATTTTAAAATTAATTTACATATTATCAACGGTAATAAACGACTAATTTTCAAAATTTTTTTTATACTATCTGCTAATTAAAACAATTGCCTACTGATTATCCGTTAATTCTTCATTATGCCCAACAAATCCAACCTCATTATATTCATAAATTTCGTTGGCTTCCCACCAATTGTTAGTGCTGTCATTTTCACATTTATTGCCGTCGTTTATGCGTCATGAACACACAAACTCACTATTATGTGAAGTGATAATATATTAATTACTATTCCAAATATTAAAATTCAATTTGACAATCATACAGTCATTATGCACTAACCCAAAGGGTATAAATTTTGACAATTCCACAAAACAAACGGAATTAGTCGGGTGTATCAAATTAAAGACTCGAAACACCTCATGGTTTACAGAAAAAAAAAATGTACTATATAAAAACACTGTAATTAATAGTAAATATTGCTAATAGACAATTATAAAGCCACATTTATTAAATACTAGTGTTAATGGGAAAAGTTAAAATAATTACATATTACCTAAAATCAACCAAAAATATGAATTTTTGGCATCACGTACTGATCTTACAAAAACTTGTCAATACACCATTATCATACAAAATTTTTACACCCATAGATTTCGAAGATATATAATAACTTCGTATCATCTTCAAAAAGCATCGTGATGTTCATAAATGCAGATGTTCAAGTCGAGAGAACCACAATGAGCCCGACGGGTTGTTTCCTTTCTTGGAATGTATTCAACTTCCATTGCATTGCTTGAAGAAGGTGAAGGATTGGGATTAAAAGAACACATATTTCCCAGATTGGTGTGCTCAGGAATGTAAATTCTCAGACTAGTTTCAAATCCTTGATTTTCCCTCCATTGTTCTTTGGGGTCTAAAATTGGATTAGGATATTTTTTGTGGACTGAACTGCAAATAGAATTCCATTTCTTACACAGCAGCTCCATTGCCATACATTTCTGAAGAATTAACAAAAATGGAAAAAAAAAAAAAAATCAAGCTCATTGCATAAGGAAATTAAAGTAAAAAAGGGAAGTAATTTTTGAACGACAAGAGAAACCCCACAACCCTTTCAGGTGTAAGTAAACCGGTTAGTCATAGAAGTCATAGCTGACCAGTTCAAACCAAATGAACAAGGATTTAGACTTGTGACCTTATGGTTACAAGCGAAGGAAAGTAATTGAATCTACCTGATCATAATTACTGTTAAGTCTTGAATTTTCATCTCTAAGCCAAGAGGGCAGGCTTGAAACTGAAGATTGAGTGTTAGAAATAGTGTTCTGTATGCTAAGAGCTTCTGCTTCAAACATGGCTGAGCATTCTGTACAGCAACTTAGCTTTATCTCCCCATTTTCAATCATCTTCCGAGACGATCCGTCCTCAAATTTCTTGCTCTGGGGTTTCATTGTTTCCAAATGACTAAACAAAAAAAAGTGTTTGAAGACAAATTAAAGTCATCATATGAAAGTTAACCAAGCTGATAAAAGGTGATCAATAATTTGAATTCAAGATTCTCATATTCTCTTGAGGTGTGCATATGAAAGAAAGTAGTTTTTTTTTTCTTTTTTTTTTTTTCCTCTCCCTGAATCTTGAAGAATTTTGCAGCAATAACCACTGAAATGCTATCTCAGCCCCAAAAGAAAAGAAAGAAATGGGAAGAAATGCATGTTAATAAGCTAATTTAGGCCCTGTTGGGTAAAATAGTTAGCCTATCAGTCAATTTTGACTTATATGACCACTATTTGCTGTTTGACTTGGTTAAACAATCAATATGAGTGTTTAATTAATTAGCTTTTTGTAACAACTTATTGTTCCAAAATGCTAAATTTCAAAAATCTGCTCAAAGTAATTTTTTCTATAAATTTTTTGAGAAAGTCATTTTCTACAATCAACTAATGTAATCAACTAGTCAAACTCACTAACCCAATCAGCTAACAGCCATTTACCAAACACCCGGTTAATCTGTGCATGATGAAAATCCAACCAGTTTCAGAGTTTAAGGGATGGGAAGATATTTACTACCTCTCTGGGTTGAGGCTCAAGCTAAGGCTGACTTTGTTCAAATCCTTCACCCCTTCACTCTGATGAGTAGTTGTTGGACATGGATGGGAAGGAAACAGATGGGCAGTGTTCTCTCTGGGATTCACGCGGTTTTCCGAATTCTGAGAGGAAAGTTGGAGGGAAAGCGCTTGTTCCACATTGGTTTTAACGAGGGAACTCGAAAAGCCAGCTTCCCTCATGACTTTCCCCACACTAGGATCATCCAAGACAGAGATGATGAGCTGCTCCACATCTATCTTCACAGGCGGAACGAGCTGGTTCTGGTTCTGGTTCTGGTGCTGCTGCTGATGATGATGGCTCTCTATCGCCCCTCGCCTCTGGTAAGCCTGAGCCCGCTTGAAGGCTGCCAAGAGCGCGTTGGAAAGGGAGAGGTGTTGGGCGGGAGAGGCCGGGAGGCGGTTCAGTGCAACATTGAAGCAGAGCTCCAAGGCTTTGCAGTGGAGGGGGTGGGAATGGGAGTGAAGGCAAGCGGTTCGAAAAAGGCCATTCGAAGAAGAAGAAGAAGATGCAAGGAGGGTGTTGGCCACATGGAGAGGTGTGACTTGGGAGTGGCCTCTCTGCCTAGCAAGAACCATAGCTTGGTTCACAACACTTAATGCCTCTAAACTCAGACCTTGCTGCACACTACAGCCTCTTGTTCTCATGTTTCTGCACAGATTTTTTAGTTAAGCTATGGAGAAGAACAGTTAATGGATTGTTCCTTGTATATCTATATCTATTCTTGTATGGAGATGCAGAGGGTGGGGGGTGGGGGGGGGGGGGGTAAGTCACTTAGGTGTTGCTCTTCTTTTATATTGAAGTTGAGATAATCAATTTTGTGGAACCAAAAAGGCAAATTGGAAGCAGAAAGTGGAATGCAAGTGTTGACAAGGAGGAGGAATCCACTAGGATCAAAGCAAGCTACCACAACTTTACTATCTTTATTAAAATAAAATACTATACATGAAAATAAAATAAAGTTAGAACCCTTATTAAGTTTGAAGAGAATAAATGTAAAAGTGGAACTTTACTTTTATCAAGCCTTTTTTAAAATCTTAATACAATGACAAAGACAAAACTACCCTGCATGAAAATATTCTAGATAATATCAGGAGACCAAATATAACAAACTCCAAAAGTTGAAACATTGAGGATGCATTGGTCATAATGCAAATATTTTATTATGCAACTCTTACTAAAAGGAAGAAACCTTAGATTTGATTGCATATCAATACATCCATTCATAAGCAAGAAGGGTCACAATGTAATTGTATAAATTCATCAACTATATACTAACTACAAGAGTCTCAAAGTCAGTTATTAGTAGGAGTAGCCCGCCTCGCTGCGTATTTAGTTTCTTGCGGGTTTTTACGGGCCAACCTGCCAGACCTACGGGTCAAGGTTCATGTGACCCTAGCCTGCCCCGCGAGGGTGCAATAGTTATGTTGTGGAACCGTGTTCACCATGTGCATGGTGAACACTGGATAGATCCATAATTTCGAAGTTGTAGATTCATAATTTCTATAGTGTAGATTCACAACATCTATAGGGTAGATTCATAATTTTTATACTATAGATTCATAATTTCTATACTATAAATTCATAATTTCTGTACTGTAGATTCATAATATCTGTACTGCGAAGACGAAATAATGCGATTGCGAAGAGAGAAACGTCGTTAACAACAAATGAAAAACAAAATTATGAATCTACAGCAAAGAAATTATAGATTTACCTATGTGTTCACCATGCGCATGGTAAACATGTTTCCACAGCATAATTTGCAACGAGGGTGGCAAGCCCGTGGGTTTTTTTTTTTTTTTTTTCCTATAGTTCATGAATAAACATGTTAAAAAACTACCACTGAGAACACCAACATGTATCTATTGTGCATAAACATGAGAGAGATTTGCGCATTACTAGTTGTTGTATATATTTAGCAAGATGCACCAAAAGGAATCTATCACACTGAAAATCAAATGGATTGGCTTCAAAAGTGAAAAAATGAGTTTATAAGGTCATGGATTAGACTATATAATTGATTGGACTCACTTTTTTAGTGTGATTTGACCCATATGCATTATAACCAGTTGAGTGACCTTGGCCCGATCTTAGATCACAACATATACAATCATCAACTATATACCACAAGAGTCTCAAAGTCAGTACCATTTCAGCAGAAGCATGAGATATGAACATTACTAGCTGTTGTATATTTATCAAGATGCACTGAAAGGAAATCTATCACACTGAAAATCAAATGGAATGGCTTCAAAAGGGGAAAACTCTACTAGTTTTTTGTAGCATTCAATGAATTATGAAGGGATGTTCTGAAGAAACCTAGTTAGCATTCCCTCTGCGACAGACCTCTGCTTGCTTATTTCCTTGAGTACCATCGCGTAAGCAGTATTGCAAACCTGAGCATCTGGAATAGAACATCTTCTACATAATTTAATGATTCATACATCTTCTACATAATGTTACTAGCACAAAATAGAACATAGGAGACTGACATTTAGCTACTGTTGTTAAAAGAACAGTAGTATATTCTTAATTCAAAAATTTGCTACTGTTCTTAGGTGTAACGGATGAGATCACTGTCTGTCTGTCTCCTGTCAATATCAAAAGCAAATAGCAATTCAACATATATTCAACTAAGACAAAATACTTACAGATTGCATGCTCAGTCTGTATGTTCTGAATCATTATGCTCAAATATTGAAGTAGGGGTGCCCAATGCTTGAATCTCCACTAATCTTTAGTAAACGAACAAACTCACCTAAAACTTGATATTCCATGAAACACTTGGAGACAAGCAGGTTTTTATCATCCACAAGCTTGATTTCTCGCAATTCATTAACTATGCATCTGTTCCACCGCAACTATATTGAGAAAAATCTCATAGTTTCGAATAAAAACAAAAATACAATAAAATAATATGACAGCAGATAACTCAGAATGAGTTGAATAGCAGCAGGAAGAAGATTTGTAATGAAATGAAAGTTTATATTCATCTTCTAGCTGGGATAGAGCTCCAACAAATGAAGAGGGTAATGAGACTAATAGAGGGTGACATAGAACCTTGAGGAAAAGAAAGAGTGAAATTTCCATTATATTCACAACAAATTAAAATCAGTGGTAGTAAATTTAAATTCAAGAATCTGAACAATTTAAACTTCACGTTTCAGTTCCGGTTTCCGTTTGTGATCAAAGTTGGGATATAGGCAAATTAAGCTATTTCTCGATTTCCAAACACTCGTATTCAAATGGTACCTCTAATTAATTTGATCCAAAGACCAGGAATAAAAAATTTGTGATAGGATGATGAGTTTTACATTATGCTTCCATTATATTATTGTACAATTATAAAGCCTTTTCACATTTATCCTTATCCTTATTTTTTAAAATTTTTTTTATTAAATTTTGAGAAAATGATTCAATATTCTAATTATGTTTTTTCATTTCATTATTAGGAACGATTTATGGTATTCCTAATTCTTATCTATGTTTCTATAATGATAAAATTGTACGTTACGTTTATGCTATTTTTCATGTGTGCTGCAACTTTTTTCTCAGTCAAGAGCTATGTTCTTTCATCAACGTAACACTGGTGCATTTTGATTTTTATTTTGATCACCTTCTTTCTCTATCACTTAGCTTCTTCCTCGACTGTGACTATATTCCTTTGGTTTTCTCTTTTATGTAACAATTAAATACAAACTTGTGACTTCATTTCTTTCATTAAGTTCATTCACAACTGCTTCTTCTCCTATAGAAACTAACATAATACACTTCCTCTTGATTGGCTAAAGTTGCCTGGGATGAACTAGGCAAAATTGAAATATCAATGAGATTTTCCGATCCCCCACTTCTGCAATCAAAGGGAGTTTCTTGAACTGTAATCTCAACGGCTTGTGACGACGTTCCACATGGAAATTTGTGAGTTTCTATCATTGAGTACGTTCTGAATTGCCTGGGCCATTTGAACATGATCAATTATTAATATCCTCTAAGACTTGTTCAATTAATGGTTGAAATGTGCCTTTAATTTCAGACCATTTTATGCTTCGGCAACATCTTATGTTCCAATCCAAACTTAGATAATAAAAAATATGGATGGGTAAATTTTATAACTATTGAAAATTTTAATTTTTTTTTTTTTTACAGGGGAGGTGTGGGAAAATTCTTTGGTGACACTAGGAGAGGAGACCAAATATTTTTATTTATTTATTTTCCACACACTAGTTTAATTATAGTAACACTAAACTATCATTTTTATTTTGTTATAGTTTCATTCTACGATCATGGTTTACACAACGATGTGTGGACCATGGTCCACGACTCCACGGTATAACAACTGCTTATCACACACCATGCCACCCACAAGAATATAATGCACTTTGCATCTTTCTGAAATGGAACAATAGATAAGTGTCTCCTAAACCGTACCCCACGGCCCGGCCCTCAGTTCAACCAATCCCATTTACACATCCCCATCATCCTAGTCTAACGTACAACTACATCGTACTTTAATCGTTAGGAACAATAGCCCTCAGGATCGAAATCAGCTTAGCTTCCAAAAATAAAATCAAAAGCAACATACTTGGGTTCATGAGTGAACACAGTCACTAGAGACGATGACTCACCAAAAGCGTTATTCAAAATCCAAAGGATATCAAGACTGGAATTACCGATCGAGTTTCACGATTGGAAATGTAATATCATATGAATAGAAGGCAATTCTTATTAATTGCAATGACCAACTTAACCACATTAATTGTTTTAAAAGAAACCGGTGCATTAAGGGTTTTAATTGTACGTGAATTGAACTATCTCATCTCAATATATCAAAAATTATGATTGGTACCCAGGTTCACATACTAGGATCTAAAAAACGTGATTTCACTTAAGGAGTCTTGAAGCAAGTTCTAGTAAGCCAACCATATATTACCGAAATTCCACAAAAAGTTTCACTAGCAATGCACTAACCGCTAGATTAAGAATTAGTCCAATTATTGAGTGGTTAACAAGAATATTGGCAAGCTAAGGGAATAGCTCAATTATGTGTTACACCTTGATTTCATCCAGGGCACATTGAGATGCAGCAAGTTCCACCAAAAGAGTCCACAAACCAACAAGAGAGAGCAATTGTAACTAAGTGCTATGACAAGTAATTTATTAACAAAAACGACATGAACCATCCAAGCAAGGTTTCAAAAAGTTTCAAAAATTTTCCAATTTTTGTCTCCTCCCCACACTTAAAATAGCCTACATCGTCCTCGATGTAAAAGAAAACAAAGCACAATAAAATAAGGGGAGTAAAATTATGAGACTAAATAAACTAAATTGCAGGAAAATAAAAGCATAAAGAAATACAATGAACAAACTAGATTGCAGTAAAAATAAAAATTCATGAAAATGAAAGATATCATGGGGTGCCTCCCAGAAGCGCTAAGTTTAACGTCGCTAGCTCGACGTAAACTGTATGCAAAGTCATCCTGGATGATCCCTGAGGCTACTACTATCAACAACCTCGATGAAATGCTCCACACTAGTCTTGATTGCCAAAAAGGTACTCTTTTCTCAAGACCTCCCAATCTTTGTTGTTGGCTTGCATACTTGAGTTTTATCTCCAAATAAAATTTCGGAGTTTTCTGCAATTGTCTCCACCATGAGATCATTTTCCATACGTGCAAAATTTGCCACATTGTCCACATTAGCTA